CCACAGCAATGAAATATAATGTGAACAAGGACGCGCGAAATGAGATTACTGCAGGGAACGATCGCAGGTAGATCATTCCGGCTTGTAGATGTTTATAAACGATTTAATTGAGGATCCCGTATGGATGAGAGTGCCCTTTTTGAGAACTGAAAACAAGAAAGTCAAGATGGTGTATTTCCGGAGCGAATGGATTAATGATTTAAAGATTCGAAATCGATGCATGGGCTTTCAACAAGAGAAATTTAAGCTTTCTTTGTACTAATTACAAAATGTACTAACATATTAATTTGCAAAATAAGAAGAACCGAGTCGCGTAATGACGGTCAACATAAGTTCCTGGCTCTCAGCGTTTGTGTAGTAGATCGCAATTAAGAAAAACCGCTAGAACTAACTTATTTGACAATTTCCAGCCACACCCGGTGGCGGAAATGAGCCTTCACCTAAGCGTTGAAGACGATAAAATGAAGTCAATGTCATCGCTGCAAAATATAAGCGTTACTTGGAAATAATAGTAACCGAAAAGTTGCGAAGTGAAACGGCGATTCTTACGAGAGAACCTGCATGCCACCTTGCGAGCGTAGCCCATGTTCATCGACGGTACAGCGTTAAGTTCGTTGGGCGCTCCATCGTCCCGAGAACACTCGAGAGGATGGCGTTCGGGGAAAAGTATTTTGGTTTGCGAAATCAACTCACTTTCGCCGAAGGTGTTGGTCATTTGGAAAGCGATGATGTTTGAAGACATTGCCGCCGCAATTGAATTGTCGGATTCCGTGCGCGATACAGAAGTCTTCCAGTAATATTCTGCGGTTTCCGTTGCCATTCGCGCAGCCTATTACCGAAAAATGGTGCCCCACGACCGGGGAATTGTCTTCATTGAATCCGTTAGCTATAATTAGATCTGGAAGTAAAACAATGAAGGAAACCGCAAAAAAACAAGCGAATTTGGAACAACACACTCGTTAAGGCGTCCATCCGGGTCTTCCGTTTGTTCCTAATCACACAGCAAGGGGGGAAGCACCGGAAGCCTTTTCTCTTTTTTTCTCTGACCATGTAGTAAAACGTTTTATACTATCGATCGTCGACTATTCATAGTTGATTCCTGTCTCCAGGGATTATTATTCTTACTCTTGTCCAGCTCGAGGCCTTTGCAGTAATTGCACTAACATCGTAACCTTAAAGTGCAGGCCGTTCGCCCTTGTTGGTTTTAGACTGGTGGCAGCTGTTAAAACCCGTTTGCTCTAGTAACGTCCAACTCCTGGTTAGCTAAGTTGGAAGAGCGCTCACACTGGAAATGGAGAGGTCCCTGGTTCGATACCAGCACTCTAAATTGATTGATTTGATTGATTTTCGGTTTTAATGGCACAGCGGGTGCTAAGGCCATAGTGCGCCAGCAGCACTCTAAACAAAAAGGGTGCCGTCTTACACCCTTTTGTGCCATAGAATGTACCCTAAAACTTCAATTCGACGTGCAATGCACTGACGTCGAACAAACGGCCCCAACCTTTACGAGGGGTGTGATAAGGGTGCGATATAACTTATTAAACATACAAAATACCTGTCAAAGACTACTGAAGAAAAATACCACTAAGGGTTTGCAGAAGGGCCAAGAAAACCTCGATTATTTTTTTAAGCCCGTCACACGTACATTAGCTATTTTAATAAGTTGTACCACTTGGCTATCAAGCCGCTCGTGAAAGTTTGTACCGTCAATTCAACGTCAGGGCGCTGCACGTCGAATTGGAGTTTTCGGGTCTATTGCGTGTAACAAGAGGTGTAAGAATATACCTTTTTTTTTTTTTTTCTGAGAGTGAGGACCAGGCGGACTTTTTGAGTGGCGCACCACTCACCTACCTGTACTTGGAGGTTTGTGTATCTCCTTTGTCCCCTTTGTTCCCCTTTTTATCCAGAGATTAATATCGTTATTCTTGTCCAGCTCGCCGTACCTTTGCAGTATTTGCACTAACATCATACTATCGGTAGTTTCTTTTTACTATCGAAAGCTACGTTCCGCCTTTACTATCAATAATATCGATAGTACTATTGTATGGGTGTTTCTTAGATAGATTCGAGCCGAACAGAGGGCAAGTTCTTGGCGTACCATTTCGCGTCTCACCTGGCGGATGTTCTCAACATCAGCAGATGCCGTCAGTGCTGTCAGGGTAGTAACACGGGCAGCTTGTGGTCTGCAATATGCACGTGCAACATGGCGCGTTGCGGTTTTCTAGAGCCTCAGACACTCTTCTGTGGCCCTAGAAAGGACTATCAAGGTTTTGACTGTGGATAGTCAGATTTGGCTTGCACCATGGATAGTACTATGGGTAGTATTTTTACCTTTGGTAGTTAGATTTAGCTTCCACTACCGTTAGTATCGATAGTGCTATCGATAGTTTTGCACCACTAACGAATACCAATTACTCTTTCTCTCCCCCCTCTGCAGACGACGCCATTTTTGAGCTTGACTGTGCAACACTTTCAAGACTCGTTGTCACCTCACGAAAAACCCCAAGTTTTGCGCATTGTTTATACGCCGCGCGATGGAGTTGTTACAATATTTTCCTGTCGGAGGAAGAAGCGAGACTTATGGCGTTTGAACCGTGTACCGCTTGAAAAAGATTACACATATCTAAATTAAAATGCACCTGGTCATACCTTAACTCTCCACATAAAGAGGGAAATTAGGAACGCTTCGCGAGGAGCCGCGGACTTCCTTTTTTTTTATTTCCGTTTTGAGGTGAAAACGAGTATAGATGACACGATGGTAGTGCTGAACTATCAACGTCACTCACAATGGACACGAGCGCTTCTTCAGACTTTGACCGGGACTCGTGTTCGGTCAGTACGAACCGGAGTCCGTGCAGGAAGCTGACGCAGCCCTTGCAGCCGCGATCTGCTCCCTGCGTCGGCCATCTTTAGGTGACGTCGAAAGATGAGCACTACGGCTCTGGTATCTAAGAAATCTTGGCTGTGTACGGGCTCTTGATAAATCTGAATTCCTGAGATATGTTATTTGGACGATCAGATAATATCGTTGTGCGGAGTGTTTTAACAACCGCCGGCGGTGACTCCGAGGCAAAGCGCCGGCCTATGGATCCCCAGGTGGCGGGTTCGAACCCCGGCCGACGTGCCTGCATTATGACGGTAGCTTATGGGCCTGTTTATCTCGGCAAGGGGGCGCTGTACCGTCTGCAAGAAGTGACCACAAAAGAGGCGCCGCCATTATACTCTATTTCACCTTATGATGTACCGCAGAAAAGGCTACAAGCGCGAGCTCCTTGCTCTTGGGCTCATCTCGGCGGCACAAGCTTGTCTCGCGCATTAAGGGCAGCTGTCAACGCTATGGGCTCGCGCCTTCTAGCCTTCGCTGCGGTACAACATAAGGTGAAACGAAGTATAGAGTCCTCGAGACGCGACCATTTATTAAGGCGAAAGCCTTATATGGTCTCATCGTTCAATCGACCTTCAAAGTCCTTGAGCGAAAACACGTCGATGACACGAAAGCTACCAAAATTCGACGGCGACACACGAAAGGTACGAAAACCGGTGACACGAGAGGTACCAAAACGAGTGGCGCCCCGTCGTGGTTCGCCACTGAACCACGACGTGGCGTTACATGCGCCAGAATTGGCGGAAGCGCTATATTCTTCCGAAAAGACTTTGGGCTCTTGTCCCTCGGCTGGCGTCGAACCAGTGACCTTTCGTTCAGTAGTCCGACGCCACACCCGTAAATCATGTGTCTGTCTTTAATGCAACGGCGCTTGGGCTTTCACCTTCAAGTCGTCTTAGGGATAACGCAAAAGACCCTGTGTTTTTTTGCTGAGGTGAGGCGGTGTCCTAGCGTCCCATCATGCACGATTCATGGGCGTAAACTATCGTCTGTAAACGGGCGCTGACAGATCGTCGAAGGGATGCCACGCACAACGGATACGCGATCTAAAAATATCAAAAATCGCTCGCCAGGGGCGCTGCTCTAAATTTGAGGGGTGTATGTCTATTGCGGAGAAGGCGCCGTGTACCCGAGATTTCTGTACCACGTCAAGAGATCCCCAGATAGTCGAAATGAATCCTCGATCCTCAACTGGGGTGTGCCAGATTTCTTCCGTTTGTTTGGCACGGAAATCTCCCAAATTTGACTTTGATTTGACTGCTTGAACATTTGTGGAGGGCAGAAAAACCGTTTCCTGCAATTTAGGATAAAAATTCGGATACCTGGCAACAATGACCTTAAGCAACAAACCTTCGCTACTTTGATGCTAAGCTTAATTAGGAGCACCCTTTTTTTTTGTGAATTTCGCTTTTGTCTGTCTTGACTGTATATTTTTGACAATATTTAACATTGGCAGTGTTTGCCCTTTGCAGTATTTATCTTCGGCAGTGTCTAATTTTGCCATTATTCAACTTTGACGGTGTTTGACTTTGACACATGATAACTTTCGTGGATAAAACTATTCGAGACGTAACCTTTTATCCCGCATGCAGCGGTCTTTTGCTGCTGCGGGGGTGACAGGAACTTGCCAATCGTCCCCGCGTAGCTCATTTATTGTGCTCCCCCCTCCCCGCACAAACAAAAGGCACGAAGTTTTCTGGAGACACGGTGACAAACTTGTCTGTGCAACACGCCTCAAGCACGTTGGAAGCATGTCATTTGTATGTTTCGAACGTATCTGCAGACTGTTTTTGTATTACCAGTATGTCTACAAAGACGAAGCAGGCCTGTTTCTGCAGACTGGGATATATAAAGACATGGTCACATTGCTAATACATGGTACAAAGAACGGCCCGCAGACGAGGCGCGTTTCTTCCTTGTAAGGTGGTCACACTGGCCATGCAAAAACTGTCTGCAGACAGGTTCGAAGATGTACGAAGTATGCTTTGTACAGTCTTCAGGCCTGTCCGCAGACACTTGCGCCATTATGTTTGCCACGAACACCGTGTGTTTCGTACGATATGTAAGCAGGGTGAACTCTAGCAGCGTGACCGCGACGCCAGTCGAAACTGTTTACCTGGTTGCAGTAGCTCCGTATGGACTCGAAGGTGCAGTCGATGACGGGCCTGCTGATCTCGAACAGGTCGTCGAACTTGAGGCGCCTTCCCTGGGCCCTGCTCCGCTTCCAGAGGTGTCCGGCGAGGCGCAGCAGTCCCTTGCCCGCCTGCACGACTCCGAAGTCCTTGCCGAAGACCACGTGGAACGGAAAGGCTGCGCACATGGTCTTCACACCCATCGGTAGGTCCTCGGGCCGGTTGCTCAGCGTCTCCAGCACGTTGCTGAGGAAAACCAGAACTATTAGTTTCTTGGTGCATCGACTGCCGCGGTCGTGGCAGCCTCGAGGGCCGTCCAAACAGGTCGGGTTTTCTCCAGTTACTGCATTTGCCGTACCGGAAGTAAAAGTGTTCCTCCAGTTCGGGTTCGCATTTAATGGACCTTTTTCCAGTAAGGAGTGCCTCATGACGGTTTCGCCGCGTACTACAAATGGAGGGCAACCGGACTCGCCTTCTCCCGTAGGAACAGATTAGTGTCGCAACAGAACAGTGCCCCCCAAAAATGGCGAAAGGGCGGTCAAGGTCAAGGGAAATGGTGAGCGCGTGCGCAGACGCTTACTGGAAAAAGGTCCATTGGTGCGTTTTCTTTCTATTCTTACCGCTCGAAGCAGATGCTTAGAGCGGCAAACAAATGGCGACTAAAGATGCAAGCTTGTACTGAGAGAAGTAGGTAGTCCTAAGTCTCTCCGTTTCACGAAAGGGAAAAAGTTAACGAGAACGCTGACGGTAAGTTACTTTAACAATGGATTCCGAGACTGAGAGTAGGAATACCTCTAGAAGGTTATTGGCTCTTTTCAGAAATTAAGAAAAGTTCACTCTTGAGGACCAGGCCCGCTTGGTTCTCGGAAAGGTCCGCTTAGAGCACGCTGCCATGTGCTCCTTGGGTAACAAGTAAGCCATGACAAAACAAACAAATAACGTTCTCGAGATACGTACAGATCATGACAGTACCATCCCATTACTGAAAGAAGAACAGGAAAACTTCTAGGTCTTGGCATTCTAAGCTTGAGACTGGAAGATTACGTATATCATCCAATGCATTGCGCCAATAAACTACGAGGTAAAACTCACGATTTATTATTTCTTCAACCGCGGTCGCAATGATACTACATAATTTAAAATACAGTTTGCAGTCACTGCTTTCTTGTGTGACTCTCGCATTGGTCATACAAAACTGTCTGGAGATATGTCCGAAGCCGTGTCTTTTGTACGACGAAGCAGCGGCGCGACTGGGGATTTCCAGGGTCGCGATAGGTGCGTTCTGATGCCGCGCACAATGTTCCGGCTCTAGCTGAACTGGCAGTCGATGTCTTGGGTTCCGCAAAAAGGGGACAATCTCAGTGGCAATCACTCGAAAGATAATCTCGTTAATCGCTTCTTCGGGTAGTCCCGTCACTGTCGAGGGCTTACGAAAGACCAGAATTAATCTCGGCGCCGTCAGCGTGCTGTAAGAATGTCTCTTGTGAGGGCCGGTGTTGTTCGCTACTCTAAATCGCAGAAACTGCACTCGGGACTATTATAGATTTTCTGTCAACATGACGTTAGGACTCTGGCCCAATCTATTTGTTCCGAAGACATGGGATTCCAAAGAGCGACGCTGTAGTGTGAGTGCAACGCTGTTTGGTTGACTATTTTACTTTTAATATGTTAGTACCGTGACAGTGGGTAAAATTAACAATTTTTGTTTTTTGTGCGGGTATGCGTTGGAGGTATATATTGAAACTTTAGATAGCGAGTGGCTTTGTATTACTTGACGAGGCTTTGCATGTTGTATATCTTAGGCGAAAGCAGAGTGCTACGAGAACTTCGGAGGAAGTTTCTTTTCATCACTATGATCATGTCCGACAAGTTCTCTAGCGAAGGGTTTTCTTTAAACAAGCCCAAACACAAGTCGTTCTAAAGTTATTTAGTTTATGTTGATATACACGTGGCGTTTTACTTCCGAAACGTTAACTGCGCTCTTCCACGCAGTTGGCATCCTTGGCCACAAACCTTAACTGGCAATCTAATATGCAAAAACCCTTTGTTACGATTTTACGGCCAAATAAAATGATTGTCAAAACTTAAGGATAAATTTTGTCTTCAAACTCAAGGTACCTCAAGTTTCTTGTCGTTCAAGCCGTCCAGATCTTCGGCCTCACGTTCTATGGGGCACTCGCACGAGGTTGTTTTCAAGCAAATACCAAAAGTCGTTTTGCAGTTGTTTAGTTAATGTTATTTACAAATAACATTACGCTTTAGAGATATGAACTGCGTAGTTAGTCTTCAGCAGTATTCATCCTTGGCCATATAACAAGATCTCCCGTACTCGAACAAGCGACCCTAAAAGTCTAATGTATTCGAGAAAGTACGCTAGCTGTAACCATTGACAAGGTGAGAACGAAGAGTGTCTATTTCCGACGCTCGGCCTACAGCCCACGGGCGCTGCCTTCCGTCGTGCTTTGGCTGCGCGTGCACGCACGAGGCCCACGAAACGCAGAAGCATCATGTAAGGTAGGAAGCTCGCGCTAGAAGCAGGACAACTGAAGCCCCTCCTGCCATTCTTATTCTGTCAGCGAATATAGATGGCGCAAGCAGCCACCCAATGTATAGCAGCTGATCACGAGCACAAGGAGAGACAGAGCAATGGTACCTCGGCAACAGGCTGCTCTTGCCTTCTTTGTTGAGCTCGGTGATCTCGAGGGTGACGTGAGCCCTGTCCCCGAACTCGGAGACCACGGAGATGTTGGCGCTCACCTCGGTGTTGAAGAACTGCTTGCCCACCACCTTGACGATTCCCAGCACGATAGGATGCAATCCTGTCCAAACATCATTAACACTTCTATTATAGATTCTGTATAGTCAGTGAAGAAACGCTCGGCGAGTAGCGGGAATCTTACGGTCGCTTTGCAGCCAATTGGGGTGTGGCATCAGTCAATAAGAACTCCAAAGAACCAATCAGGAAGCGCGAAGTGTTCACTTAATAAGCCAGGCCCGGCGTTCCTCAAGATGTCTTCGACTATTGGCACGAGAGCGGTAAGGCGCTTTGTTAGCTCGCACACTTGCGAGAACAATGGTCTTTCCTCCGTTCCAAAGCCCCCACGCACGTTCGCTACAGTGGCTTTCACGACGCCGCTCGCTAAGAAACTTTCGAGATAATTATGTTGCGGTATGCGAACTTCGACAGGAATTACGAGATACTCGAGGAAAAAAAGGGGCCGCTATTCAAGACGCTCGCGTGCTCCCACACGCGCGCACGAAACTCTAGAGTTCGAAAAAGGGAACGATGTTTCAACCGTTCTCAAGTAGGGAGAACCGATTAATTATACGCTGATTATGCCGTTACTAATTGATAATTTGTGTACGAGATTTTTTGTTTGTTTTAGCTTCGCAGCTAACCGCCTAATATTTGCGTTATGTCCTCTTCATTTGCGCCGCAGGAACGTCGATTCGGACGTGAAAGGTGCAATCAATGAGATCGATGAGGCTCGGTGATGCGCCGCAGAACGCGCGGGGGGAGAGAGGGAGGGGGAAGGGAACTGCCGTCTATTCTTCGCGCAGCCACGCGTAGCTTCAACAATAGAGCCGCCGAGCAAGCGGTTCTGTATCAGCGTGAAGCCGCTTTCGAGGGAATTCAAGCGCTCCGTCGTGGTCCGCTGCGAGGTATAGTAATGCACGGGGCGGTGCGCGGACGCTTACGGCCGCGGTGACGCTGCTAGCAGATTATACGAAAGACAGTCTGCGAACACTCTATCGGACGTCTTTCTTCCTCTTAGGAGGAAGAAAGATAGAACGCCAAGGTGCGAAACCCTTACCCTGCAGTAAGATCGAGTACATTTTGAAACACGGCCATAATTGAAGCAACACCGGTTTGTTCAACACCGCGCTTTTTTGTCTTCCAAAGAAAACCGCATAGTCACAGCGACGCGTCTTCGACTGGAGTGCTAAGCGTTCTATAAGTGACAACAAATTGCGTCGCAGGAGTCTGCGTGTCACGCTGTCGGATGTCGCGATCCTGGAGGCTGGTTTTAGAAATGCTCTCGAACGAGTCGAGCAGTCGCGAGTGTACGTGTCGTCGCGGCTTTTCAATTCGCGTCTGCTTTAGTTTCCGTCGACTGTTTGCTTGCGGGGAGACCTGCGTCAGAACGGGACTCCGCCGCATCCAGTCGAGCTGTAGTGCCACCGCCAGGATCGCGACAGGCGACACCGTGACACTTGTATGACGGCATCAGGCGGAACTCGGGGGACGACTTTTGGCGCCGCGGTGGACACGCCAGTCGGAGATGCGCTACGGACCAGAATAGTCAAAATCTGTGAGCTGCCTCCTCTGCCACCACGTGACGCCATCATACTCGGACGGTGCCGACGCAGCACTGTGACCCGCGCCCGACGCCGGTCGTCCTTCAACGCGTTCATTGGACACGAGGCCCGGCCGAGCGCTGACGTGGCACTCGTGTCCAATCAGAGCCTGCACTCGATCTCGCTGCGATGCCGTCCGAGGCACGGGTTTTGATTATTCGGGTGTTGCCCAGGCACCATAGCCGGCGCTGTGGGCGTTACAAAAAAAAAAAAAAAAAAAGGAAGAAGACGAAGAAATCTAACGAAATACGTTTCTCGTTTTTTTTGAAAATAAGAAGAACGCGTTACCGACCTACGTCACCTCAAAATAAAAGGAACGCGTAAAAGAAGTAACTAAGGTTGCTTTTAGAGCGCAGCTCTTAGGCGCCCGTTTCCGCGTTTCGCGGCGTCGCCGTTGCCGTAACCGCCCTGTTAAATTTAGTAGGAAATTAAATTGGTGTTGAGATCACGTGACGTCAATTTCCTCGTTAAATTTACCAGGGAAACATAACCCGCTATGTGTAGCGGGAAAATGTTCGCTCAATTTCCCGCTAAATTTAGCGGGAAAATTTAGAGTGGAAATTTAACGGGAGGAGGAGTCTCCGGAGGAGGAAAGGAGGAGGAATATGCCCTCCCCCACGTATCCACCCCTCCTCCTCCTCAGGAGCTGCTCTCTGATTTCGCAATACAGAGAATTGTAAACGTCTTTAATTTTTTATTTATGAATTCAAACGTTTTATTGTTTTGACGTTACAGGTATGAATCAGCGCCATATTTCGAAAAATATTATGTCCATGCAGAAACTTGGCATATCTACATTGTTTTTTTTACGGTTCTGATTTTGAAAGAAGGCGGGATGAGTGCAAGAATTCAAATGACTCGACAGATAGAAACACACGCACAGCAAAAAAAAAAAAAAAAAAAGAGGGCTTAGGAAAGAAATGTGACGAATAGCGGGTAGCTAGGTTACCCGTTACTCGAAAGAAGTAACGTAAGTACGTTACTACGCTACCGAGGACAGTAACACGTGTCCCGTAACGCCATTCCTTGTAAGGCGTTACCGGTAGCATTGTGCACTGGCCCAGCCGAGGAGAGGCGCATCCTCACCCTTGCGGTCGCTGTAGTAGTGCAGCAGGATCTCTCCGTTGGGTCCGGGCGTGACCCGGAAAGACGGCGCGCGCATGCCCGGGTACGTGGAGGCCAGGTGGTCGTGCAGGTTGTCCAGGTTGGTCAGGAAGTCGGCCATGTTGGAGCCCAGCACGCGCAGGATGTGATCGTAGCCGTGCTGCTGGCAGAAGTACAGGAAGTGTTCTCCGAAGGCTTCCAGGCACGTGTCGAGGTCCAGCCCTGTTTACGAGAAAAAAAGAGTGATATGTGAATCCGCAGTACGGTCATTGAAATATCTGCGACACCTTATCGAACTATGATATATCCTACGTATCTTGCCCCTTACCTGGAGGAACCATCACCAATCTCTGCTCAGAGTTTGACACACTCATCAATAGTTATAAAACTATATAGATGTCGCATGACTACGTTAGTAGTTACGTGACATCGTGTCATGGTCATTGCGTGACTCTAAATATAAACGACGGATGCCCTATATTATAATTTCGATGGGGGGTGGAATGTGAACTCGGATTCAGCCCCACGCTCCTTCCCCGCAGAAAGCGACACCCATAATACGGCGACAGCCAGTGTTGCTCGACGAACTTCTTAAGAAGGTCTATTAAGTTTACTTTAAAGTTTGATCGTAGTATAGGGAGTTCCCGAGAAAAAAGAATCGTGTGTTTCGGCCAGGGGAAATATACTATGCATTGCAGAAAGCTCGAACTCCGTGAGAATGTGACGCTGATGGTGGTTCGGACAGAAGACGAAAGTTTGAGAACACCACGTTACCGGGATCAAACAAGTAACTTGATGCAGGTCACGTTCTCACAAGTCTAATGTCGTTAAAACAAGAACCGACGTTTTAAACGCTTGTGGGATTTTTATGAGTGAAAAAAATTAACTTCTCAGAAAAAAAAAAGATACTAATGTTTTCTTTCTTGCTGACTAGTGTTTTTTTTTTTTTTACTTAAATAGACATTACAAGCACGCACAATGTCTTTTCTCGTTTTGACGATGTTAGGCTAAGGTGGACGTCGCTCATAAAAAAAAAAGAAAGAAGGTTCGAGTTTCTCTGTTATTTTTTAATCCAGGTAACGCCATGTTCTCAAACTTTCGTGTTCTATCCCAACCACCGGCGTCACATTCTCACGAAGTTTGAGCTTTCTGCGATGCATACTTCAGTAGCACAGTCCGAGCCACACGATTCTCTTTTCTCGGGAACTCCCGGTATTTTAGAAGTTAGGTGCCCAATGGCTGGGTAACCGATTTGAAAACATGCCGCTTCCGAGGATCTTTACCAGTCATAACGTGATGGGGAGAAAGCGGCGAGACAGACTCTATTGCTGTCTAAGCTGAGCACCACGGCACGTGTTTACGTTTTTGTACGTACCCAGGACCTCGCATGCCGCACCCACCAGCTTGAGGGTGACTTCGTCGGTGTAGACCTTGTGCATCAGGAACGAAGCGCCGTGCATCGTTATGCCAGACTTTTCTCTGCATCACGCCAAACAATATTGGGAGAGTAAGAAAACAAATTACACATAGGTTCAACCCGTGCAATGTTGGCAATTTTATGGAGACAAGAGGATGCAATTAAATGTATAAAATAAAGATATCAAAGCAATTCTCCTTTTGTTCTTATCTTTTTGTCGCATTCTTCTATGTTTTGAAATGCACTGTTTCAATCTTCTAGACAAAGGGTTTTCAAACCTCGGCCTGCGGTCCAGATCCAGCCCGGGGAGGCGTTCCGGCGGGACCAGCGCAAAAATAAGTGTACAGGAAAAAAGTGCAGCGATCCACACCAAGAGCACGAACAAAAGTATCAGGACTGACGAGTGAAAACTGCGTCAAAAGGCGAGTTCCCTCGCCACATTATTTCTATTACATTTCGTCAGCAGATTACTATACGTTAAAATTTCTTTGCCTTATATATATATATATGTATATATCTCGATTTGTATCCTGTGTCATATCAGATTTATCATTCTCATTAGTCTTTTGCCCCTTTGTAAATATGCCAAAGTTTTTATGCGCTTTGATTTATGCCTTGCGAGTTTTCTGGGTCGCAATTATATTGTAATTAGCGACACACTAAATATAAGAATAAAGTATCTACTCATCCACCTTCCTTTAAAAAAATTATTTCAGATCTTCAATTATTGTTTTTAATTTCTTATCTAGTTTTACTTATATAGTATTTATTTTTTACATTATCTTATTTATTGTCCGGCCCTCGAGGCAGTGACAGATCCCCAATCCGACCCCTTTGCCGAAACGTACGGAGAAAATTAAAATGAACTTCGATCAGATCTCCAGAGATAGTTCCCTTTAGGGGGTAAAGGTAAGCTAGAGAAATAAATGAGTAAAAAAAATATACATTTTTGAGAAGAACGCAGGAAACTTCCACTACTCATTAGGAAATGAATAAAAAAATTCAAACGTCCGTTAAAGAACTGCGCACTTATTATTTCTACCACATCTCTCAGAATTATCGTTTGATCGTTTATTTCTTTTTTACCTCAAAAGGGAACGCGTGGCACAGTAAGTCAAAACACATAAGAAAAATATGTTTGAAGAATTTAGGTTTCTAGAGCTCGTTCACATCGCTCGTGAATAGGCTATATAACGCAACAAAGGGGCGGTAAAATAGATGAAAGTGAGGAATTTACCATATAGGCTTGTCCGCAGCCGACGTTCTTTTTTATCTCTATTTGTTTGTCGGGTTCGCCGCGTAGGGGGTGGAGATGAAGGCGTGGTGCCTGACAAAGCTTCTGCACCCTAAAGTTAAGCAGCTCAAGATAGTCATACATATTAATGATACTACAAAATATTACACAAAAAACATGAACAACAAGGGAAAGCAAGAAGAGAAAATAAACACTTCAATCATTTGGTAAAAAAACAAAAACAAAAACACTATAAACGTCAGTAAGTGTTAGTCGTGTAAAACAACAAAACAGCAAAATACTTGAATGCTACCCTGTTTATCTCCGACATGTCCGCAACAACAACACATTCGGATAAGATTACATTGACAACTTTTTTGTAACTAGTTATATTATATTTAGCGATTATGCTCTTGGTGCAGCACACTATCCATATGAAAATGCGATTATACTACCAAACAAGAACCTTCTGCAATCACGTTTAAAACAAAACAACAAAAAAAAATGTTATAAAAAGAATATTGTTAAATTCAGGAGGTCATGTGTGCTCACTAGGGATAAGGGGGATTTTCCTGCCCCTATGCATAGTCTCAGAAAAAATCTAGAATCCAGAAATGTATTTGTTCCGAGACCCGAATGATGTACGTTTTTTATTGACCCCCGCAGTAACTCTGCAGTTTAATCTGCGATCTAAATATAATAAATCAAGACTGGTTGCCACTGATTTTTGGCGTTCATTACTGCCTCTCAAGTGCAAACGGGGGTTAGATGTTTTCACGGTGCTTCGAGAGACGGAACTCACAGCAACAGCTTCCACGTCTCCGCGCCAAATTTCTTGGTCACCAGGTCTTCCAGGGCACAGTGGATGAACCCGTACTGTAATCAGACGGAGAATAAAGGAGGACAAGGGTATTAGTGCACTGCAATTACGTGTTTCAACTCAAACATTAAATTTTTTTTTTGAGTGCGGGAATATTAGGACTGCAGTTTTAAAGAAACACTCGCTACCAATGCGGATTAACTTCCAAATGCTAGCCAATAAAATGCATATTGAAGGAAAACACGTCTACAGTCAGTGAAGGCATTTCTAAAAAAAAGTCATCCTTATCGTTTTATACCACCACTCTCGATGATTTCAAATAAACATTTCGAGAATGAAAGACAAATACAAGGCAATCCTAAAGAACATCAACTGTCACAATTTCGTAGCGGAAATAGTATCGCGATTTCAATGTGGCGGTATAGCACTTGGACGCTTGCGATGTTTATCGCGGGAGAGGCAAGGAGTGCCACGACCGGACTAGATACACGCTTGTTCTCTTACGGCCTCTCCAGTGGGCCACGACAGCACCATATGGTTCCAATGCGGCACTTGCACATTGTTGGCTGCTAGCGCCTACGGGCGGCCGGAAGCTGCACCGCAGCGCGACCACCACAATACTCGAGGGCTTTGTTTCAAATCTTACCCAAATGAATCCGAGTTACTCCGGCGGATCGTATCACGTGACAGCACAGATTGAAAAACGCTGGACGCGGGTAGGTTTTAGAACGCCAAGGGTACGAAACCCTTACCCTAGAGTAAGATCGAGTAAATTTTGGAACACTGCCGAGGACTACTGTCTGTGGCTATGCACACGAAGGTATGAGAGCGCGTGCTTGAGAGCCGGTTGATTCCTCTTGCTAGGTCTGTTCACTATCCCCTTGGGGGGAAAACATCTGAGTTGCGCATTCTACTTTTCGACGTGGATGCCGACTGCTTCAAAACGGGTTTTCTTCGGGCATTCTCGGATGCAGGCATTAGGTATCTTAAAGACCTATCGAACACCATGAGCTCGGCTGCAGGAACTAGCTTCTTTGTGCGGCATCCCGGCACATGATCCCCCGGTTTAAAGTGTCCGCCGCACTCAATAGTAAATGTAAATGTGTCGTTCGCAGCAAGGTTCTCCGTTGGTATTCCCTTGATCCGCGCGGTTCTTAGTGATTCATCGCTGGGCGGCTGGTCAAAAGGCACGACAGAAGTCTTCCCCGATGTCGACTCGTAATTTGGGACATCGAGCCACGCGAAACCGAACCCGTTGATGCAGCGGGGCGGAGCAGCAAAAATAGTTGGGTCGCATCAAATGCTCCAGTGCACGAGGTTGGTGTATCACACTGCGCCTTGCTACTTTGAAATTGTTGTAATGCCGGAGTCCCACTGTATTCTGTTCACCCCTAAAGGCCGACTACCAGACTGGAGATTCTGCAAGGCAGAAGATCCTCCTCACCGTGGGGGAGGAGGAAACAGACAACAGTGGACAGGGTAGAAGAGGGAGAGGAGGAAGCGGGGGAAAAGTGGAAAGTGCAAACTGGTAGCCGGTCTTTAAGCTGAGACGTTGAGACCGCTTTCCTGACTTTTGGACGTGCATTTCTAGCGCGGGCGGTCGTTTTGCCGAAGAACGCTTCAAAGCCTCGGGCTTTCGCGCTTGTCACATCGGCTACCGTCTCAGCTAGCGACAAAGAGAAACAACTTTAAGCTCCTAGATGTGTTTGCGTTTGTCTTGTAAGTAGCGTCAAATGTGCCAGTGGACGAGGCCCGTGTCTGGAGTGGCCTTTGGAAGCAAACGGCGGCGGAGCACCCGCTCGTGGCACGCGCCTCGAGCATTTTTCCATGAATGGTTGACGGTACATGAAATTGCGAATTTTATCGAGGATCTTGAAAACAACCGACACCGACAAGCACGCGCACCATGTACGCCAGGGTATTCTAACCACGATGATATGAATCCAGAACATTTCACTGTTAAATATTTAGCCTTAGTTTTCGGGTTAAAATCATCATGGTAAACTTCTACCAGCTCGCCTGCGCACAGACTGTAATTTCATTCAAGGTATTTTTGTCAAGCTTGCAGTTACTCGCCCTAACATCACGAGCTCCGGCATACTGCGAGCCTACCAAAGGTAGAAGGCGCGACATTGTTAGCGCGTTCGAGACTTCGTCGTTTTTTCCCTCTTTTTAATTCGAAAGGATAGCGGCGGGCGTCAAAGCTTTCCACTTAGGTTAATACCCCCCCCCCCCCCCTCCCCTTCTAGCACTTTCCATTCCTATAAGCCAGAACTCTCCAAAGAATTAGGTTCAAAGGCCGGATTGGGGACCTGTTGCAATCTCGTGGCCCGGGAATTAGGAAAGACAATATGTACGAGGAAAGAGTATATAAGTAAACCTAAATATGCATTGAAGTGCAAAAACGTAAACTAGAGCAAAAATTAAAAAAAAAAAAATGTACGGTGGAGAAATACATGTACCTTATTTTTAAGTGTAATATTTTACTATTTACGAAGTAATAGTTTTCCCGAGAACCGATCACACATAAATCAAACTTTGGCATATTCACACAGGGCAGAAGACTGTTGAAAATGGTAGATCAGGTCAGAACACGATACACAATACACACAAAAACGCGAAGGATTTTTTTTTTTTCACGCAGACATGAAGCAGGGAATTACAAATATACTTTGGTGATGATAATGCACAGTAAATAATATGCAGAGAAAACCGCCGTTTCTATGCGGTTTTCTAGGCATGTGCCAATAGTGGATTTTGAGATCGAAGCGAATTCGAAGCGAATAGGGGTTTTGGCAAAATTTTTTTCGAGTCGAATATCGAATAGTTTCTTCGAGCTGTTCACTACCGCACCATGCCTAAACGAAAATTCATCTGAACTCGTGAAGGTTGTTCCCAAGCTCCCACTTATCCATATAGGAGCTAAGTTAAACTTAATCTGGCTATTTTTGTGGACTGTGAAATCATAAAGTCCTCTGCCCATATGGAAATGGCAAGTAAACGATGCATTTGACATAAAATTAAACTTCTCAAGATACCCAGCTATACCAGATCGAGGAGATTTACATATATTCTTGCAATATGCAAATATTATTTATTCAGTTTAGCATTCGAGAACATACCAAAAAGACAACCGTGAATGATGAACATAGGCTGTCGGGGCATTTCTGCCTAACCGTGGCCTAACCTAATATAACCGTGACTTTGTCTCTGTCCCCTTCCTCGTCCTTGTTTATTCGGCGCTTTCAATTCACTAATATAACCGTAACTCCATAACAGCCGCAGTTTAATATTGAACATTTTACTGAAGTGTAAATATTATAATTCATAAAAGCTTCTGCTTTTCTTTTCTTTTATTTTTACTTACACCACGCGCGCGCGTGCATAATCCCGCTTTGAATGTAGAATTTTCTGTTAAGAATGTGACTACAATATTTGTAGGCCCGCGGAAGCGAGCACCGCGGGTGTTGCTTCTCCGCAGCGCACCGGTGCTCGGTAAGAAGCGCTCTCAACGGGGCTAACCCGCCGCGTTCAACCCTTGGGGAAATGCGAATATCAGGGCTAATCTCGAAGAGAATATCGGATAGCATAATATAACGTGAAACCTTTTTTGTCTAGGTGTTCGGCATTTCGTGAAGCCTGGATAAAAGCGTGGCCGCGAGGCTCGACGCTGATTGGCTGATGGATGGGAGAGGGGGAGTGAGGTGCTCGATGCTGAATGGTTAACGGGAAGGTCATGTGACCAGAGGGGTAGGCAAGGAGGAGTGAGGTAGGCGAGGAGGAACCCGACCACCTGTGCGCACTGAGGAGAGGAGCTGGAGAGTACGGAAAGATCTGGAAGATCTCCAGGTTTATCAGCCGGATTTGCGGTAGTATCACTTTATTCCTGGAAAAAAGCTATCAAGTGTACACGTGGTACGCGTTAAACTTTCTGATGAAGGGCGCCGCGAACATAGGCGTCTGGCATCTGGAAAATTAGAGTCTTGCTAAACGTTTGTGAGGCTAAAACGTTTCACGTAGGCTACGCAATTTCCTAGCGATTCGCCATACAACTTTCGAAACTACTATTCAAAAATTCGCATATTCGCACAACACTACAGTTTTATCTCGTTCTTTCTGATAACTTCGTTCGCGTTTTTGACGTTTGTCGCGGCGTCGATTTTTTTTTATGAGCGCCTATTTATTGCGTTGGTAGGAGCGGGCTGCGGGCCGGGTGTTGCTGGAAACACCGCGGTCAGCACGGGCATGGCCGAACGAATCCGCGGTCCGGAGCTGACCCGCGGGCCGGGGTTTCGAGACCCTCGCTATAGACAATTGCAAGCATGGTGCCTCGAATGGCACCGTGTGCGAGCAAGCACGTGCAGCGTGCGCGTGAACGTTGCTTTGGTACGGTTGCAATCGCACGGGCGTGCCCGCACGAGGAGAGACATGGCGGTGGCAGCTTGCAATCATCTATTCGCAGAAGGAAGTTTGGGGATCGCCGTCTGGTGGAGTTTTTTCACGACCCAGAGTGAGGATACTTCAACTTCGTCCGCCGGTGCAAGCCCGTGCAATGCCAAGCTTCTACGCACTATGAAAATTAAAACGTAAGCGCGTGGGTAGCACGTGCACTACTCATAGTGAGGAAAACTGAAGCGCCCCTCGCGAGCTTCTCGCCGCGAATAGTAGATTTATTGACAACTTTTCCGATATTAAAAAAAAAAAAGAAAAACAAGTGATGGCTTGTTTGCAATGTGTCGAAAGGAGTGTATCTTGGCGTGCGCGCTGGTCGTGCTTGAGTCATGTCGGTGTCGGTTGTTTCTGTTCGTCGCTCCAGTGGGACTCGGGCATAAGAAGCGTGAATTCTGTGAATGGTCTTTATGCTGAACTTCACTTTAGGTCCTCTCGCAGCCGACGCTATACGATCCAATAAAGATAATCAAGGGAAGCCAAAAGCGCACCGTCAGGGCACTTATCGTCTTGGCGCGTTTCCTAACGCCGATCTAGCCATCACACACAGCAACTGGGACGTCGTGTGCCCGTTTTTTTATTTTTGACGCGTGATTGATTTTGTGGCGTGAATGTAAGTTATATATCCGGGGATTTCGAACCCACAGGCACAACGAGCGCTATGAGGATGCAACTTTTGGTGCTGCCCGGTTAACGCCATCGTGTAGCAGCGCTGGAGTCCCACTGCTCGCATATCGTACAAAAGACACACGCTGTTCGCTGCAAACACGAGAACAGAAATATTTGCGGACGCGCGTCAAGCATGTCTGGAGCATG